CGTGCATACATGCATACGTAACACATACATGCACACATATGCATACGTGTACACCCCTGCACGCATACATGCATGCATACATACGTGCACTCATACATACAAGCAAGCATACATTTACACATGCATCTACACATACTATATGTATAAGTATACACATACATGTACGTATTTCTGTATATATTTTGATATATATATATATATAGCTATGTAGGTGCATCTCTCTCTATACGTATGTATATATACACATCCCTTTGGACGCGGCATGCCGCCCTAGAACAGGTTCCCCGACTCCCCCATGGGCGTGAGGGCGTCCTTTGAGTCCGACCTGTCCAAGGGGTGGAACCCGCTCTTCTGGCTGCCGCGCCGAGCGAGAGTCCGCAGAGGCAGAGCTCAGCAGGGCTACTTTCGAATAGCCCATTTGCTGAGGGCTTGCTGTCGTTATATAGGAGGGCCCTGGCACAATCGCCGTGTTTGGGCCTCGGCGCTCCTTAGCGGTCCCCCTGTGTGGATAGTCGCTCCCATCTTCCTGATCCTGGCAGGCCAGCAGACGAAGCGCAGGCCAGTATTGTGGGCTGGCCCATACGATTCTCGGGCTGCTCGAGCCGTCCTTCAATTCGCAGACAGCGGTCGCGCGTTTGTGGGAGTCTGATTTATGTTTGCGCGCTTGACACAAGAAGAAGCGGACATGCATCTTCATTGCCAATTTCCTCAAGGGGAATGACATGGCAGTAGTGTTGTTCAAATCAAATGGGCCGTGCCACATCTATGATATAAACAAATACGCCCCCCCTTGCCCCAAAGGGCCCCGCCCGGCTCGGGAACATCGAGGGGCCATCTTTGCCCCCCTTTTCCTGTCCCCCCACTGGAGGCTTCCATGGGGCCCTGGAGAGGGCTTCAAGACGGCCCACGAGGCCTCCAAGACGGGCCAAGAATTCCCCGAGATGGCTCACGAGCCATCGACGACGACCAGCATGGCGCCAAGTAGGTCCAAGAGAGCTCCAAAACGTCCCAAGAGGTCACCAAGACGGCCTCCAAGAGGACCCTCAGAGAGAAAACTCATCTATTTTCCTTCGATGTTTGAAGGATTTTCAGGTTTCCGCCTTTTCGAGTCAAGAACGGTTCAAGACCGCTCTGGGAGGCTCCGAGCTCGTCCCAACACGGTCCAAGAGGCTCCCAACAGGGTCCCAAGACTGTTTAGGAGGGCCCAAGGAGCTCTAAGACGCCTCCAAGGACACCCCACGAGAAGCATAGGAGGCCTCCAAGGGGATCCAAGGGAACCCAACAGGTCCACAAGGCGGCCCAATACTCCCAAGACGGCTCAAGAGAGTCCCAGGAAGGGCCAATAGGGCCCTAAGATCGCCCGAAAGAGCTCCAAGATAACACCCAACAAAGCCGAGAGAGGTTCCTTGTTCGGACTCTTCGACCTCACGTGGGCTGTCCTGAACTCCTCTTGTGGCTACCTTGCGCGCCTTCCCAGTGGGGGAACATTTTTTTCGTTGAGGTAGTTTGGAAGCCTCTCGGGGCATTGTTTGGGAGGAAGGCTCCTTCCCTCCGTTCACCTCCGTCCTCCTCCCTTTCCCTCCCTTCCCTCTTCCTCCCTCTTCCCGCCTCCCCTTCCCTCCCATCTGTTGCCCTCTCCCTCCGTCCCCCCCTCCATCTCAGACCCTCCCTCACTTTCATTCCCTCCTGCCTCCCCTCTCTTCCTCCACTCGACTGCTTTTCTCTCCACCTTGTGTTCTCTGCTGCTTCGCGGTGCTTTTTGTTCCCACTTTTTTTCCCACGACCAGCGTCTGCCATGCGAAAACCCTCCTTGCCCCCTCCCCTACCTCTCCCTGCGCCTCCTCTCATCGCCTTCCTCCGTCTTGCTTCCTCCCTTCCTCCACTCCACCTCCACCTTCCAGTCTCTCTCTCTCTCTGTATACAAATCCCAAGAGGCCTCCAAGAGGCCCCGAGAGAGCTCCGAGAGGCGTCCCGAGAGAGCCCGAAGAGGTTCACATCCTTGATTTCCGGTAGTTTTTTTAAATTCTTTCGCTTTCTCGCGTTCTCGAGCTTCCAACGCTCCAAGACGGCCGAAGACGCCCCGAAGACCGCCCCAAGGCCGCCGAAGAGGCCCCAAAAAGAGCCCCAAGACGGCCCCGGAGAGCCTGAAGACTGCCCAAGAGCAGCCCCAGACTGCCCAAGAGAATCCCAGGAGAGGCACAAGATGGGCCCTAGAGCGGGAGCGGGAGGCCCCAAGGCGCTCCAGGACGGCCCAGATGATCCCAACATGGCCCAGGAGAAGCCCAAGACGGCAAACACACAGCCCAAGAGGCCACATGTCCCTTCCCCTTTCCTCCGTAGCCATTCTGGCTCAAGGTTTTGGCCGTCCCTGACAGTGAGCTGGACTCCGCTGGTCCGCGGCTTGTGGCTGGGGTGCCAGCGGCAGAGGACCCTCCGCTCCCTGTGGGCCCCCGGGGGCCGCCAGCAGGCCGTCAAGAGGCCCCAAAGGGCCCACAAAGAGGCCCCCACAGGCCCGCAAAGGGCCCCCGAGAGGCCCCAGGAACCTTCAAGAGTCGCTCCGCGAGTCGCCCGAGAAGCATGCCAACAGACCCCATATTATAGGTATCCACGAGTCCTCTGGCCCCAAACTCAGGCACAGTAGTGGTATGGGCCGAATGCCATAGATGATCAAGCAATTGGCTTGGCGACGGACCCATCCCTATGCTGTCATGTGTAGCGCAGGGCGCGTATCTCTCTTCGTACACTGCGCGCCGCGAGGCAATGCGGAAAGCGGGCTGCAACGGAGCACGCGTGTACCGGTGCGCTGAACCCCTGTGGGGCACGATCCGCGTGAAGGAAGTGCCGAATAGTTCGGATGCCCCCGCGCGAACACGCCCACTGAGGCCGCAGGTGGAGCTCCTCTGGGCACGACCCGTGCGGGCCACGTTCCGAAATGGGCTGGGGGACGCCATGCGAAGTTGCCTATTCGTGCCATAGGTGCTCCTTCTGGGGCATGATTCGCGTGACGGGTGTGCCGAAAGGGCGGGGGGGGCGCTGTACGAACCTTGTCCCTGGGCCTTTAGGTGGTTTTCCTTGTGTACATGATCCGCGTGATGGGGTGTGCCGCAATGGGCGGGCGGGCGCAATGCCAACCCTGCCTCTGGGCTCTAAGTGGAGATCCCTGTGAGCCAAGCGAATGCGCCGCGGCCCCCGTCCCGACGGGGCCAGACTCGCGCAGAAGCCGAAAAGGCGAGAACTCCCAAATCCTTCAAAAACAGAACAAAAATCCAGGGCCCTCGGGAGACCTCTTGGAGGCCTCTTGGGGCGCCTTGGAAACCTCTTGCGCCATCTTGAGGTCATCTTGGGCGTCTTCGAGCGATCGTTCGGCGAATCGGGGCCCTCATGGAAGCCTTGGAGAGCTCCAGGGAGGCGCCATGGCCGCCGAGAGACCCCCCGGGAACATGGCTGGTGCACGCAGCGAGACGCTTCCTGAGTAGGTGGGGGCCCTTTAGAATACTACAGAAACCCTGCCAGACAGCACTTGGCATTCTACCAAGCCTCAACGTGCCAGGGGCGCGGTGGCGGATGATGGGAAACGCCTCCGGCAAGGCCCTGGCTCGAGCGATTGTGGCGTTTTTCTCGTGTCAGCGGGGTCGCAAACCCTTGCACAGCATGATTCTGAGTCGATGGCGAGACATGTTTCGTTTTTCCTTCTTCTGCGCGCCATCGCTAGCCGAAGTTATTTACGCTGGAGGGCCGAACGTTCGGTGACGGCACGATCACCGTGGAGCTCCGTGCCATCAGATGATGTCGAGGATCGGAGCGGGCCGGTGCACACCACAAGGAGCTATCACCGCGCCTGCCGAACCGTATTCGCCAGAGGGCGAGTGTGGTTCAAGGGAGCCCTGTACGAATGCCAGGACGCAGTGGCGAAGCTATGCCGACTGGTGGCGCATAGTGGCGTGGTGCTCCCACCTTCACGTCTCCCACCGGCCCATTGTATCCCGCGCCGCGGCTACGTCAAGATGTGGTCGTACAGCGCCGAGACAGTGCTCATACTTGGCCGCTTGGACGAAATTCTTCGACATGCGGCGGCTGCCCGCGTCGACGTTCTTGTGCTGCAGGGCGCCGTGCTCTCCATCGAACATCAGTGGGAGAGCCCTGGCTACATCATCACGCCTCCCCCACGTTCGGCTCGCCACTTGAATGGCGGGGTTGCGATTGCTACATCCAAGCGAATTGCTTCACGGGAGGAGATTACAGTTACACACAGGTGGCAACTGGGGAGGCTAGTGGGCATTCGGGTCCAACGCAAGCCCCACGTTGACTTCTACGCCCTCTGTGGATACGCCCCAGCTGACAAACCCCAAGCCCGACCCATCACAGCAGCCGCCCACGCGGCATGCCGACGCGACGAGGACGAGCTCTTTGACAATATGAATCGCGCGCTGGGCTGTATCCCCGCTCGCTGTGCTATATGACTGGCCCTGGATGGCATCGGTAGCATGGCGCCGTCACTACCTGAAGTAGGACATGCCAGTTCACGGCGACGGCGTCGGCCGCAGTGGACCGACAAAGGACGACGCCTCCATGACATCCTCTCCCAGTGCAGCATGCGTGCCCATAACGACTTCGGCCAAGCAGCAGGACGCAGTACCGCGTGGAGGAACCCTGACGGCGGGGGTGAGACGCGGATCGACTACATCGCCACTTCGCGCAGTGCGGGCTCCCAGGATTTCGCGCGGGTCATTCGTGAGACCCCGCTGGCCTTGGGCCCCTCTAGAGATCAGGTGATAGTCGAGGCCTCGGTCCGAGTGGGTCGACACTTTACTAAGCGACCTCCCAGGACACCGACGCCAACGTGGCACCGTCAACATGCCCCGAGTTCTCTCCAGACATGGCAGCGCTGGTCTACCGCCGAGGCGGAGGACCCAGGCAGTGGAGGCCCACTGACCACCGCTATCCGCGACGCGCAGCGCTTCCAGGACCGTGCGAGCCACGCCATTGCCTCCGTGGGCCAGGCCCTTGCGCAGACCGCCCCTACCAACTATTGCGACTTCTTGGAGCTGGCGGTGGCCTCGGCCGCGAGCGATTTCCCCGCGCCCAAGCAGGGGCGCCAGTTCTTTGCCTTCTCTGCCGACGCGGTCCGACTGATCAAGCAGTAGCAGGAAACCATCAGCACCTGGCTCGCCGACCAACGAGTTCCTACTGGTGTGCTTCTCACGGCGCAGACCAGAGCTCGACTTCTTTCACTCGCCGCTAAACGAGCTACGCGAGCTGAACGACCTGGCAGACGAGGCCACCACTGCGGCTCGCCAGAACGACCCCAGGAAGTGCTGCAAGGTCATGAACCGTATAGCCCCCCAAACGACGCCAGCTTCAGTTGCCGTGGCGGGACCCGACGGATTGCCCTGCGTGGGCGCGCCCGCGGAGACCCAGGCTCGCAAGCAGGCGCTGCTGAACATCTTCATTGAGGTCCCCCTCTGCGAACGCCCGCCACCTGCAGCGCCACCTCCGACGACTGCGGAAGCGCAACCACTTCAGCACCTGCTCCACTGCACCACTAGCGACGCCGAGCACATCGTCGACCTCGTGCCCGACCGCGAGGCCGCCGCGCCTTTCGACGCTACCCCAGGCGGACATCTGCGGCCGCGTGGTGTGGTGGCTGAGCTCGGGAAGCTGGCGGTTTCGACAGTTACTACTGTGGTGCAGTCGCTGAACCAGGGTATTGCCAACTGCGCTCAGATCCCCGCGCAGTTCAAAGATGGCGTCGCGGCACAGCTACGCGGGCCCAGAGGCGATGGCACCAACGCCCGATCACTACAGGGCGCTCAACATCCTCGACCACCTCGGCAAGGGTGTCTCCAAGTTCATGATCCGACCATTCATCGGACAGGCTACCGCCCAAACCGAGCCCACCCAGGTCGGGGCCACGGCGAAGCGTGCCACTCGAGATGCCATAGCGATGACAGACGACATATTTCGCCGCTGTCGGGTCGGGGCCAGACACTCCAAATCGGGTAAAATTCTGCCCAGGGATACCATCTGGTCCGAGGTCCACCGCCTGGTCGCGTCTGCTGGGTTCCCTCCTGAGCTCCGAATTGCACAACGGCACCTGCTACTTCTTTTAGGGCCCGAAGTCAGGCCGAGTGGTGGCGAAGCTGGCTGTGCAACTGGGGGTCCGACAGGGTTCGGTCGAAGGGCCGCTCCTGTTCATCATGGCGTACAATGTCGTGCTCGCAGCGCTTCGCGTTGCCGAGGAGGGGCGCGCCATCCCGCCGATCGCTGCCGCCCTGGACCTCGAGGGCGTCGCCGCGTGTCTCGATGTATCCCGCGCGCGTTTTATTGGCGACCTAATCGCGCTTGCTGTCTTCGAGGGTTGGGCGGAGGTCGCCGGCTTCATTGCCTTCATCGCGTCAGTGCTGCGGGCCAAGGACTATCGCATGAATCTGCCCAAGACGGAGGTCATTGCTGTGGCTACTGGCCGCGGCCCCCGACGCCTCAACAAGGATATCGCTGCGCGTTCGACGGGGGTGATGTGTGACGGACGCCCTGTCCACCCACAGGATGCAGTGCGACGCTTGGGACTTCAGATTT